GGAAACTTAACCATCTTTGATTAACGAGCTAGTCAAGTAGAGGCATACTAGTGACACTATGTTTGTGTATGTATTCACACATGTATTATGTTTCCGGTTAATACAATTCTAGCATGAATAATAAACATTTATAATGAAATAAGGAAATAAATAATAACTTTATTATTGCCTCTAGGGCATATTTCCTTCATTAGGGCCAACCATCTTTAATTTGAGGTACACGTAGCATGGTCGAACCATAAAACGTGCATAAGCTGGTCTGCCTAAAATAGCGTGATAGGCACTTTGGAAATCCACAACCTCAAATGTCAACTTTTCTTTGCGGAAGTTTTTGGAATCACCAAAAACCACATCGAGAGCAATCTAGCCGAGTGACGCGGCCTTCTTGCCAGGAATGACTCCATAGAAACTCATGTTGCTTGTGCTGAGTTTGGACATCGGAATGCCCATCCCTTTCAGTGTCTCTGCGTACAGTATATTCAAACTACTGCCGCCATCCATCAACACTTTAGTCAGTCGAGTGCCCTCGACGACTGGGTCGACCACTAGAGCCTGCCTCCCAGGGGTGGCTATGTGCGTCGGATGATCAGACTGGTCGAATGTGATGGCCGTCTGAGACCACTTCAGATAATTGGGTGTCGCCGGAGCAACCATATTCACCTCTCGGTTTATAACTTTCAGTCGACTTTTGCTCTCAACGTCAGCAAAAATCACCAGAGCAGAATTGACCTGAGGATATTCCTTGTCACTATCCCCCTTGTCCTCAACTTTGTCCGACTCCTTTTCCTTATCCTTGGATTGTTTCCCTTGGAACTGCTGTATCAAGAGTTGACACTGCCGAGTGGTATGCTTCGGGTAAATGAAATTACCTTCTTCATCTTTCTTCGTGTGGATGTGACACGGCAAATCCATTACGTCATTTCCTTCTTTATCCTTCACTTTCTTGGGGTTCCAAGGCCCTTTGGGCTTCCCCTTGAACTTTCCTTGAGTCACGGCCAAGGCTTCTCCAGGAGCAACTGGCTCGACTTTCCGTTTTTGCTTCCGACTGGAGTTCCCTCCTCCGGTTTCCTGGGCGACTGACTTGTGCTTACCACTCCGGAGCCGATCCTCTTCCTCACCATTGGCATATTTGGTGGCTATCTCCATCATTCGACTCAGAGACATGTCTCCGGTTTGACCAAATTTCAGGCTTAGCTCTCTATACTTAATGCCTTCCTTGAAGGCGCAGACTGCCTGGTGATCAGATACATCCTCTACCGTGTGATGTAATGTGATCCATCTCTGGATGTAATCTCTCAAAGTCTCATTCGACTTCTGCACACAAGATTGCAGCTCTGTCAGTCCTGCTGGTCGCTTGCATGTTCCTTCAAACATTCTGACAAACACTTGGGAAAGATCTTCCCACGTGTAAATGCTGCTGGGTGTCAACTGATTCAGCCATGCTCTAGCCGATCCCTCCAACATAAGAGGCAGATGTTTCATGGCCACCTCGTCATTTCCGCCGCCGATCTGGACAGCCACTCGGTAGTCTTCAAGCCAAGTATCAGGCTTAGACTCACCATTGAACTTACTGACTCCAGTCGCCAACCTGAAGTTGGGGGGAATCACTGCGGCCCTGATGGCTCTGCTGAAACACTCTGGTCCTGAGACATGCACTCGACTGCTGGTGGGTACATCTCTGTCGTGACCCTCTCTGTGAGCTCTGTTCCGGTCGACCAGGCCTTGAACGATGATGGACCTCGCATTAAAGCCTGGTTCCCTAGGGTCGACTGGAATCCTTCGCCTACCACTGTGCTGGCGTCTATCATCCTGCTGTCGAGGTGCGTAGGATCCACCCCTTGGGGGAGGGGTGGGCACTCGACGTCGATCATCGTGGTCGAATTGGTGATCGTACTGCTCACGGTTCTTGTACTGATCGTGCCGGTCTCCACGTCCCTCGCGCCTCGGGGGCGATCTGGGGCTATGAGCCGACTGGACTGTATTCGCAGCCACGGATCTGCTGTCAATCCTGTTCCGCGACTGAGATACAGCTGAATTTTGATCTCCTGCTACCCGGAGCAAATCTCTGATCTGCATCAAGCCTCTGCCAGCTTCTGACTAGAAAGGCTGAATTGACTCTGCTATACGGGCTGCAGCTACTAAATTCTGAATCGGAGTTCGATATACCTGAGTCGGTGGTGGAAAGAGCTGACGTCGACTGGAGTCCGGAACCCGTTGCCGCGCACGCTCGTCGAGTGCTCGCTGAAGGTTCTCCAGTCGAGTGTGCGCAGCCAAGTTGGCCAAGCGCGCGTCCTCTAAGGCGCGAGCCTCTGGGGTTTCTCCAACGGTAGGAGTGTGAAGTGCATCCATGTTCCGGCGGCGAAGTTCTTCCCTCTGCAGTGAATTGAGGGGCTCGGGGAGGTACTCTTCACGGGCATGCGACGGATCGCCCCCGCTGTCGCCTCCTTCGGCGCCGGGAAAACCGGGAGGACCGCGTGGTCCATCGACCATCAGAACCTCCGCCGCTGGATCACTGCTGTCGCACTCGGATGCAGTCTCTGCGGAGCCAGTTGACAGGTCGAACAGGCCGTGGAGAGATTCGTCGGGCTCAATTGCCGCGACTTGGGGGGTGGCCGACTGGCAGGCCACCGCGTGCCTCACCCACCGCTGAAGCCTCGACCTACCGGAGCGCTTGCGCCAGCGGGAAGCAGGGAGGGAGGATGACACAACGACCAATCGATACTGGGTCGACGGTTGCCGAAGGAGGATGCCGCGGACGCACGCGCAAAACTGCGTCGCTCCGCGGACTGGGAGCGCGTCGTAGTCGAGCGGAGCCTCCTGAAGCCAAGCAGAGTCGTCGGCGATGAACGTGAGCGCGCCGAGACGGATCTCGCGGCCCTCGACCAAAACTCCGCTTGAAACCATGATCAAGGAGATCGGAAAGATTGCAACTTCTCCAATAAGTCGCTAAGACACCTGCCCCACGGTGGGCGCCAACTGTCGTGGTTCTAAGTCTGACAGTAGTATAGGGGGGATTTAATGGAGAGGTAAGATCCTAGCTATGGAGCAGTTGTATACGCAAGAGATTTACGAGTTCAGGCCCTTTTTGGAGGAAGTAACATGCCTACGTCTCGGAGCCCGGAGGCGGTCGACTGGATTATATGCGTATGAGTTACAGGGGTGCGAAACCTTTACACTGAGGAGGGGGGGGTGGCTTATATAGAGTTCGCCAGACCCCTCCAGCCCTCAGTTATGACGGGTTTAAAGTACATTAAGACCGGGGGTTACTGGTAACGCCCACATAAAGTGCTATGAAGACCATAAAGGCTACTTAATGACAGACCGTTGCGTGTAGAGTGACTTTAGATCTCCTGGCCGTCGAGTGGTTAGCTTCATGGTCGAGTGGTTATCTTCATGGTCGAGTGTCCTAGAGTCTGTCGAGTGGATCACCTCTAGGTCGACTGACAGGTAGTTTCTTCTAGAGATGTCCTTGGGTAGGGTAATTTAGACAGGTCCATGACCCTACCCTAGGTACATAGCTTCATCATTAGCCCCCGAATGGATCGAGGTTTGAGTGGGGAAAGAGTTGAGAATTCTTCCGACCCATTTCTTGTGCTATGAGCATGTCTTGTCTTGGATCAATAAACTTTTTAAGTGACGGCACTAACTTCTTTTTCAGTCGCCTTGATCCATTCTTTGTATCTGTCGACTGAAGTCTTCGCTTGGAGAGCTCCGAATGACAGGGTGGAGGAGATCTTCTGTCTGACGAGTTGCTCTGCAACCCGCGGATTTTGTGGGATTCGAATTTTGGGAAGCGCGCGGGACGGGGCGTAGCTGCAGCAATCGGACGGGATAAGGCAGGGCCGCCTCGATCTCCGCGCCGCCTTTTTCGCCACGTATCGCGCACGCGGCTGTTACGGGATTTGACAGGATCGTCCGGGCCTACATGTCAGCCACTCGGAAGCAGCCTTATATAAAGCGCTGGACGGGGGTTTTTCAACGGTGCGCCTTCATTTCCCCCTCTCTTCTCCGGATTTCTCCGCCGCGTTTGCTTCTGCCTCGGCGCCGCTGCTTCGTGCGTGCTTTGCCGGCGACGATGGTGAAGGAGAAGACGGCGGCCCTGGAGCGAGCAAAGAAAGCGACGGCGAAGGCGAAGGGGAGGGGAACCAGTCGGAGTGGCTCTTCATGAAGGACCGGCCTGCCGCTGGGCTGGATCCAGGGCGACTGGATCCGCTCGACAATTAGTCAAGCGGATCTCGACGACCTGGCTGACGGAGGGCTGGTCCCCCATGGATCGGCGCGGCTCCCGGGGAGGGAGTCAAAGCCGCAGCCTGAGAAGGGTGAGTGCGTTTTTCTGACCACCCATGTCGACCGTGGGTTCTCTTTGCCGCCATGTGACCCCGGCGTTAGGACGGGTCAGCGCCAGATTCCTGGCTGCTAGGCGTTGATGGTTTTTAGAAGTATGATATGGTTGGTGCTGGTTGGATCTTGTGAGTGGCGCGACATGCATGCGTCCACAACGAGTCTTGGGTCGTGCATGGTCACGTAACATGCTGGACGCTACATCCAGTGGACAGATATACTATCATGTCTACACTGCACACATTGACTGCAACTGCATGCATGCATGCATGGTTCGGCCACTGGCTTGTACGGGATCACTACTAGTACTAGGATCAAAACTCGACGAAACACAAGAATTTGCCGGCCGGTCCGATCGCGAGATGCTTTGCTACTCAAAGGTGCACTGGAGCCAGCCAAAAGGAAGATTAAGAAAATCCATCAACATTATTAACTTCGAGCAGGGCATATAAATAACCAATCGATCGATCAATCGGAGGACGCCACCATAAAGTGCGTCGTCACTCACAACTAAAAAAAAATTCGACCACCCCTCACCAACCCGACCCAACAACCGCGCCGCTTTGGCATGCAGTTCCGTTCCATCTCTCTCGCACGCACGGTAACATTCTTTCTCGTTCATTGCACCGGTCGATTCGACCGACCATTCATGCATGGCTCTACTCCATGGAGTAGCAGCATTCCTTGAAGGCCTGCAGGTTGTGCCGGAAGACGGGGACGAAGGCGTCTACGCTGCCGTCGCCGAGGTAGGACGGCGCCAGGAACAGCATCCCCTCCGTCGGGAAGTAGGACGGCATGAAGTAGCTGGGGCTCCCCGTGCCGAAGTCCAGCTCGTAGAACGGGAACGTCAGCCAGCTGTCCACCTCCACGTCCGGGCACACCACGTCCTTGAGCACGGCGCTCGGGGCCAGCCCCTCCTTCTCCACCGCGCCGGAGGACGCGAAGTCAACGAAGGACTGGAAGTAGGCGCCGTCCACCCTCGCCACCTCGTCGTGGATCGCCTGCGCCGCGTGCTTCAGCGGCCGGCTCAGCAGCTCGCCCGCCGTGGCCCGCGGGAACGCCCAGAGCACCAGGTTGCCGAAGTACTCCGCCGGCCTGCCCACCCGGTGCCGCCCGTCCACCGATATCCGGATCGACGTGGCCTCGCCGGGGCTCAGGTCGCGCGCGCGCGTCATGGTGCGCCAGAGGTGCGCGAGGATGGTCTCGAACCGGCTGAACGGCCGCCCGCGCCCCTCCGAGGCCCTGGCGCGGAGCCCCGCGATGAAGTCCTTGGTGAAGTGCGCCTTGTGGATGACGATGTTGCTTTCGGCGCCGTCGTCCCCGTGATGGTGGCCGGCGGCGGCGGCGGTGGGCGACGGCCGGTGGTACTCCCTGCTGCGGTGGTCGTGCTCCGGGCGAGCTGGCGAGGACCGCGGCTTGAAGAGGTCCTTCTGGTGGTGCACGGGCGGGACGCCCATGGGCAGCCCCCTGGTGGCGCGGCCCCAGGCGACTAGGAAGTTGCTGGTGGCGTGGCCGTCGGCGACGACGTGCTTGGACGTGAACCCGACGGCGAGGGAGCCGCAGCGGAACCGCGTGAGCTGCAGCACCACCACCTCCTGGTGCTCCGCGTCCAGGTCCGGGTGCAGCTTGAGCAGCGCCGGCGTGGGCTTGGCCGGCGCCATGTCGACGAGGTCGGCGTCCACGGACGCCTCCACGAGGCGTGCGCCACGGTCATTCAGGACCACGGCCGGCGCGCCGTCGGGGGACTCGCCGAGCTGCCCGGCAAACGCGCGGTACTGCGCGAGGACGGCCGCGAGGCCCTTCTCGATGGCGGCGGTGGACGGCGCGGGCGGCGCGAAGGCGTAGATGATGGCCATCTGGATCTGGTACGTGACCGTGTCGAAGACGGACAGGGGGATGTGCTCCGTGGCTGGAGCGCCGGCCTTGTAGGCGGGCTTGACGAGCCTGGAGCTCAGCACCTTCACCTCCATTGCTAGCTAGCTAGCGAGGTCGAGCTCCGTGCAGCCAAGTTCGATCGGCGACGAGGAGTTTGCTTGCTAGGTAGCTGCCGCAATGTTTGTGCTGCCTGATGTACCGTTTGCTCGTTTGATGGTGCCAGTGGCGACATATATAGGGGCCGTACGTAGTGGCGAGCACTACGGGAAATTAAAGCGGTTGGTGAAATCCCATTTAAACAACTTGTTCCATGTGTCTAAATTACTGTTCCGAGCATGCATGGCTGAGACTTTTGACCCGGCCGCCTCTCGCACGTTTGACTCGGCTCCTACGTAGTAGTGCGAAGGTGTTCGATCAAATGTCGTCACGACTCACGACTCTCAAGTCTCAACTGTCCGGCCGGTTCAGTAGGAGTAAGTACATGAGGCTTTGCAAGTTGTACACATGTTTAGGAGTAAATTGTACAGAAGTACCACAATTGGGGCATTGGAAACAGATTGGTACCAAGTTTAGTAATTTTTACATGTCAGTACCAAGTCTGGGGCTATACGTTACAAAAATCGCGTATAAACACGTATTGACAGTGTATCTGACCGGCGGGGCCCGCCTGTCAGCTGCCGACGTGGCATTTTTTTTGCAGAAACCCCCCGCACGGCGGCGCCCGGTCTGGATCGAGGGGAGGATCCCCTCGAGCCCGAGCTCCTCTCGCATCACCGCCGCCCCTGCTCGCGCCGGAGCTGCCCCTGCTCGCGCCGCCGCGGCCTCTGGTCGCGCCGCCGCGGCCTCTCCCCCCTCCGTTGCAGCAGCTCCAGCGGGCAGAGCGCGTCCCGCCGTGCTCTCCCTGACGAACTCGGCCACCCCTGCGCTCCCGAGCGCGACGCCCGCCCTGTCGGCCGCCGCCACGGCGCGGTACGCCTCCGTGTTTCCCGCCCGGACCACGGCCCCCGCGCCGGCCAGCGCGATGCGGGCGAAGCGCGCGCTGGCGAAGAGCCGATCAATGGCTGTGTCGGTGGGATGGGATCAGAACCAGCCATCCGGCCCGAGCTGCCACCGGTCGGCGTACATGGGCGGTGGGGAGGTGGGGGAGGAGGAGGGGCTGGGGAAGCCGAGGACGAAGCCGGCGGCAGCGCGGTGGTGGTGGCCGGCGACGGTGGCGATGGGGCCGAGCGGTTGGTTCTTGCGGCGGTCGGCACCGATGGGCACGTTGCGGAGCGCGCCGCCGGCCGTCCAGTAGCGGTGGCAGGCCTTGCAGAAGTGGTGCGGCTGGTTCACGTTGTAGTTGTTGAAGTAGCAGAACTTGGTCTCCCGGCTCTGGCACCGCGGGCACGGCAGCGGCGCCGCGGCCGCGCGCGCCTCCGCCGACTCCTGCAACTGCGTCCGCCGCGACGCCTCCGCTCCCTGCTGCTGCTGCTACTGCCTCGGTGAGCGCCTTGCCGCCGATGGCGTCCAGGAAGAAGGCGCAGCAGCGGGCGTGAGGGGCTCAAGGGGCTCGTCCCCTCGATCCAGATCGAGCGCCGCCGCGCATGAGGACGAAGGAGGTGCGGGGGGTTTCTGCAAAAAAATGCCACGTCGGCAGCTGACAGGCGGGCCCCGCCGGTCAGATACACTGTCAATACGCGTTTATACGTGATTTAGACCTTTTTGTAACGTATAGCCCCAGACTTGGTACTGACATGTAAAAATTACCAAATTTGGTACCAATCTGTTTCCAATGCCCCAATTGTGGTACTTCTGTGCAATTTACTCCATGTTTATGGTCAATGGTTGGTAAAGCGTGACCTCAAAGTTCAAACAAGAATCTGCACATTTTCGGCGCGAAAGCACGCTACAACTCCTCCTCTGCTCGTTAGGTAGCTAGAGTAAGAGCGTCAGCGTTTTCGATCAGCGCCTGGCATTGAGATTGTGTGTCATACTTGACGTCTTGACTTGACAATTTGCCCGAGCTTATATTATATATAGTAATAATTCGACAGGTGGGGACACGTACAACCAGTCAGCGGGTCATGCATTCTACGTGAGAAAAGGACAGCAGTCGACATGGCAACAACTAAACCTATGCGACATTTCACACTTTCGCGTCTGTACGTGAGCAGTCTACTACTGTAATAGGTCTCTTGGGTGCATAAGCTAGGACTATCCCAGCGTGCTAATTACTCTAGTAAACCATGTTTGACCGACCGATCTGGTGTCACTGGGTTGACACATTTTTGGTCAAATTGCAAGTAGAAGTTGTTTTGGGTCGTAATCTTTTTTTTTTCAAATACGTGAGAGTGCATATCTTTTCATTGATAGGAAGAGAGG